CACACACACACACACACACACACACACACACACACACACACACACACACACACACACACACACACACACACACACACACACACACACACACACACACACACACACAAACCACCACCACCACCACCACCACCACCACCACCACCACCGCCACCACGGCTGCGCACCTGCTGGCGCTCAAACTCCTTGCGCTGCCTGCGCTCCTGAATGAGTTTCTCCACGTCGCGCTTGTGCTGCAGCACGCGCATGCGGCGCTTTTGTGCATTCATCTGCTCCACGCGGTCATCGGCAGCAAACTTCTCCATCATCGCCCGACGGAACTCCTCTTCCTCGGCCTGCTCCCGCTCGCGACGCCGCTGCAACTCAGCCATGCTCTCCTGCTGGGCCGCGCGCAGCTGCATCTGCTGCTCAACACGCCGCTGAAGCTCCTGCCGCTGCCGCGCCCGCTCGCGTGCACGCTGCTCCTCCTCGGCAAGCTCGATGCGGATGGCCTCCATCTCCTCCATCTCCTGCTGCTGCCGCGCAAGCTCGCTGCCAAGCTGCTGCCGCACGCTCTCCTTGGCCGCCTCACGCTCAAGCTGCGCCCGCATGCGCGCACGCTCAGCCATCTGCTTCTCCTCGGCGAAGCTGCAGTGTTGAGGGCGGTGGGGTGAGGTGGGCGAGTGAGTCAGCGCACCAGTGAAGGAGTGAAGGAGTGAAGGAGTGAAGGAGTGAGCGAGAGAGAGAGAGAGTGTGTGTGTGTGTGTGTGTGTATGTGTGTGTGAGAGAAGGGGGAGGGATCGATTGAAATGACACCCCTCCCTGCTCTGTGTGCGTCCTCATGCCAAGCTCACCGCTGGATGGCCTCGTTTTCGCGCTGCATCTCCTGGGCCTCAAGGCGATTCCACTCGTCGCGCTGCCGAAGAAACTCCTCCATCTCTTCCTTCGTCCGTTGCTGCATGGTGCACGCGCGGTTGTGCCGTTAAGCCGAGAAGATGTTGTGGCATGCGGAGACAACAGTGGCAGTATTCGCTTTACAAACACACACTACACACACGCACAAGCACACACTACACACACGCACAAGCACACGCACAAGCACACAAGCACACACGCACGCGCGCACGCACACACACACACATTACAGCGCACCTTTGCCTCGAAAGTGCGCTGTGCCTCCGCTTCATCCTCGCGGTGGATTTGCTGCACAATCTCGTCAATCATCAGCTTCTCCTTGAGGAACTGCCGTGGCGGGTGTTGGCGACGTGGACGGAAGGAGGGGGGGGCAATTAGTACCGCGACATCAAAGAACAACACGCATCACATCAACCATTACATGAGCGGATTGAACAAGGGGTAGGCTAGGACACACACATACATACACACACATATACGCACACACATGCACACACACGCCCCTACCTCTTGGTATGCCTCTTCCTTGCGGCGCTCCTGGTCCTCGAGCTGCCGTTCAATGTCCGCCTGGTACTTGCGCGCCTCCTCCCACTGCTGTCGCTCCTTCTGTTGCTCTGTACACGCACACGTGCGCACACAAACGTGGACGCGTATTCGACATGAACGCTGCACATGAGCTTGTACGTGGGGTAGAACAACCGTTGACTCTCCTTTGCAACACACACACACACACCAAACACACACACACACACACACCAAACACACACACACACACACACACAAAGTCACACACGCACACACCTTCCAGTTCTGCCTGGCGGACGGCCTCCTCAATCTCTCGCGCGGCCTTGAGATCCTCCTGCCGCGCTGTCGCCGTCATGTGTTGCCGCTCTGTGATTTGTGCGCTGCGCTCCCGCGTGACATATGCCGCCTGCAGCTTTCGCTCCAAGTCTGCACGTATCGCAGAGGTTGTGAGTATGCATTTGTGCAGCTCACTTCCACAAACACACACACACACACAGGGCACCAAACACACACACACGCACAGGGCACAAAATACACACACACACACACACAGGGCACCAACCACACAAAGCACACAACAGATATACATAAGTAGCACACCATGCTCCAATCATGTGCACATGCGCTACCCACCTCTGAGCTCTGGGGCAGTCTGTCTGATTTGTTGGCGAAGCTTCTCATCGCGCATTTTCTCACGGCGGATGGAGTCCAGCTCCTGCGCCAGCCGCTCCTCCTGCTGCCGGGCGAGCTCGGCCTGCTCTTTGCGTTGCTTTTCCTGCGGTGCCACAATCACGCCAGCGCACACGTGATGAGGCAAGACAGGCAAGCACGCGTCACCGCCGCGAGCCAATGCACATGCAACAAAAAGTCGCATCAACACACACAGGTCCAACGTAACAAACAAGCGCATGCATACACACACACAGGCACAGACAGCCAGGCACAGACAGCCAGACACACACACACACACACACACGCACGCACGCACACAAACACACGCACACACCATCTCAAGCTGTTGGGCAATGGCCTCCTCGCGCTGCATCTCGGCTGCAAGGCGCATCCTGCGCTTTGTCTCGACGCGCTCATCACTCAGCTGGTTTGCGCGCATGACATTCTCCTGATGCAGCTGGCGGGTTTGATCGCTCTGGCCGCGGTCACGGCCATCCTGGCCAAGCACAAATCTGGCAAGGGACTGCCATGCAGGCGAGACCGTAGGCAGGTCAACAGCGCACGGAGCACACGGTCACGGTCATTGGTTCGATGGCAATCACAACACAAAGTCCCAACACGCGAGCGAGCCAGCGAGCGAGCAAGCAAGAAAACAAACACGGAACACAGCCAAACTGAACATGCGCCTGCTCGCACACGCGAAGATCACACAGCCTGCATCTGCCACCCACACACAAGCGCACACACAAACACATACATGCACGCACCCAAACGCGCTCGCACTCACTCACCATGATGGGTGTATTGGAAGGTGGTGGTTGCAGCTTTTGTGTGTGTTGTTGATGGTGGTGTGTGTTTGTCGCTTGTCGTTGACGACTCTTTCGTTGTTCGATTTTTCACAATTTTTTATTGTTGGTGTTGCCAAGTCCACATGCAACGGGCCCAAGCAGGGCGGCAGTGACTGGGAGATGAGGTCGAGTGAACCACACACTATTGATTTACTTTTCTTTCTATCTATGCGGCGCCTGCTCTCACACCCATTCGCCCATGCACACCGTTGCCCTTTGTTTGCCGCAATCGCTTTCCCCACCTCTGAGCGCTGGGAGCAGTGTAAGATTTCAGCGAGTTTTCCCCAATAAAGCCTGACCACACACACACACACACACACACACACACACACACACACACACACACACACACACACACACACACACACACACACACACACACACACACACACACACACACACACACACACACACACACACACGCACGCACATTGGCATGTGTCATGCGTCGGCCTTTGCACGCTTGGGTGGTTGGTCGTCTGGTGTGGCTGCGTTGTGGCCGCGGGCTGGCGCTGCTTCTGGGTCCACACCAAGCTGCTTCATCTTGACGTACATCTCAAACAGGTAGTCGAAGCACTCGGCCATGCTCTTCGCCTTCTCCCACGTCTCTCCCCAAACATAGACGCCGTGGCGGCGCACCAGTACAGCACACGCCTCTGGATACGCGCGCATGGCATTGGCCATCCGCTCCTGCCATACACAGCACATGCACGGCAAGCAGCAAGACGTGAGCACAGTGCACAGTGCAGAGTGGGTGTGGGTATGAGCACACACCAGACCATGAAGGTGGGGAGAAGGCGAATGCTGAGGAGTCATGTTGCCACATGTTCCGCTCCGCACGAATACCTTCAGCCGTGCTCACAGCGACACCGTTACACGCACGAAAAAGAGGCATTGTCACATCAAATACAAGTGACACCCAGCACGGCCATACGCAGCCAGACACACACACACACACACACACACACCTCCAATTCGCATTCCCGTGCTGTGTTCTCGATAATGGGGATGACAAGCGTGTCGTAGTATCTGTAACAACACGTCATGTGTGGTGCAAGGGTCAGGCGCTGAAAGAAGAGAACCCCCTTGCAAGTGCACACACACACACACACACACACGCAGCATACATGCATACGTACACACACGCACGCATACACACACGCACACGTATACATCCACACATCCACACATACATACACAAACGCAAGCACAAACGCAAGCACAAACGCAAGCACATGATACTGACCCAAAGTTCTTTCCGGTCTGTCCACGCCTGATGCCCTGATGATATCGGCCACAGTACAGGCGCAAGCAAAATACGTGCGAGAGGCAGGGTTAGTGGGGCGTGAGCTGCGATGCGACGCGTGGCACAACAACTCATTGCTTCAGTGGTCGCAAATGAAAGCCGTGCTTCTCAAGAAATGGCAGCACAGGGGTTTGCTGCGCACAAGCAAGCGAACATCAGCACGCAAGCGCATGATCCATGTGCACCCGAACCTCAAAGCAACAAACACAACCACACAGTGCTTTCCACCTCGCCCAAAGACACGTGCACGCAGAAAGAGCGCGCGCGTGTGTACCTTGATCATTTCCAGGTTTGTGATGCGAAACTCTTTGTCGCAGAGCAGGGTGGCGAGCACGGCGTTCTGGGAGTGGGAGTGGACGCATGCGCCCGCATTGGCTAGCCTGTAGGCGTTCATGAACAGAGGTGTGCACTCGGACATCTTGAGGTTCTTCTCGGCTGGCGGTGTTTCGAGCACGGTGCCTTCGCCATCGGTGACGAAGATGTCCTCTGGCTGAATCCGTTCCTTTTGCACCCCAGATGGAGCGATGTAGATCTTCCCACTGCCACCGGCGTTCACGCACGCGAAATTAGAAAAACGTTGGAACCACTGCAGCTGGAACCACTGCAGGTGCAAGCGCACATTAGAACAACAACAACAAAGCACACTGCACAGATGCATACACATACACTGAATACATTGAGCATGCACATTGAGCATGCACATGCACAGGATGCGCATACACTGAGGATGCGCACACACACACATACTCACTCACCACACACTCACTCACTCACTCACTCACTCACTCACTCACTCACTCACTCACTCACAGTCACTCACACGCTTACTCACTCACAGTCACTCACACACTTACTCACTCACACGCTTACTCTTGTTTCATGGAAAAGCCACCACCGGTGCCTGTGGCCCAGCCCTTGTCGTAAAACAAACGACACAGCTCTGGAATCAACTCCCGTGGGTTCGCTGCAGTCATCCCGCCTCTTCACTTCTGTTCTCCCTGTCACGTGAAAGGACCAAAGGACACACTACGTCCGTGGTCAAGTTTTCCTTTGGAAGTGCTGTGTGCCAAAGGCAAACTTGACCTTGAACTCCTGCCTCGCAAAAATCGAACCAGCCCGCCAACACGACGCAAGAGCGCACGAACTGCAGCGGACTCGACACGTGGTGCGCGACAAGTTGCGGAAATCACCCACGAATATTCGCACCCATTCACCGTTGTGGTTCCTTGCGTGTGCCTTTTTTCCTTTGTTGTGTTTGTTTGTGTTTTCTCGAGGTGCGTGTGTGTTGTGTTTGTTTGTTTGGCTTCCCGGTTGTGTGGTTTGCTTCGCTCTGCTCTGCTGCCGTGCCTGGCGCACCCTGATGCCTCCCATCTCCTCCGTCGTGCTCACATCAGCCATCGTGCGCACACCCCCACGCGTCCACTTCCTCTCCAATAGGTCGCCCGGAGCACGCGCGCAAACCCCACAAACAACACACAGCAAAGTGAGAGCACGCACGCGTCGTGGGTGGTTGTTTGTGTTTGTTTGTTGTTGTTGTTTTGTTTGTTTGTTTTGCCGTGTTTGTTTGTGTTTGTGTCTCTGGTGCTTGTCGTCTCGGTTCGCATCTGCCCCTCCCCCACCTTACCCTGCTTTCTCTCGAGTGGGTTCATATGGAGGAGTGCGTGCGTATCTTCGTGGCTTGAGCCGAATGTGGTTGTGGCTTTGGGGGGGGGGGGATTCAACGTGTGAACCGTGCGTGCGGTGTGTTTTGTGTGGCAAGTGGAGGAAGTTCCAACAACTCCATACAAGCCTTGCTCCTCCAGATGGTCTCGTTGGCCTGTGCCCTCTGCCCTCTTGCCCACGTTCGCTTCCGCCTTGTTTATATCCTTGCGGCCTTTGTGGTCACTCGCCCTCCATCCGTCGTCCAGCTCACGTGCGCATACATCAAACACAAACAAACACAAACACGTCTCTCACAGGATTTGGGGCGTTATTTATCGTCATCCTCAGCTTGTTTCCCTGTGCACCAGAGCTCGGGAACGAGGTTGACGCTCCTATTCTCTCCCCGGCAGCTTAAATACCCACCTCCGCGTGTCAGCATTGCATGCCCGCTGCGGCTCCTGGACCACCCTCCTCCTCTTCCTCCTCCCATCGCCGCTCTGCTCTGACTTGACGTGACGCTCAACCAACCAACCAGCAGCCACACATGGAGCAACAGGCGTCGCCGACCACCTCCTACAACGACCAATCCTCCCAGGACTCCTCCTCTCCTCCAACTCCTCCCCTTCAGCAACTGCACATCTCCGGGCCCAGCAGGTGCGTATGTGTGTGTGTGTGTGGGTGTGTGCGTGTGTGTGCGTGTGTGGGTGTGCGTGTGCGTGTGCGTGCATGTTTTGAGATGTGCTGTGTGCTGATGCTCTGACTTTGTTTGTTTCTGCCTTTTTTTTGCCGTTTGCATGTATGCTGCCTCTGACACGCTTCGTTGGCCTCACCCCCTTGCCTGACCCTCTCTTGTTGTGATGACGAACAACAGCGGCAACAGTGCTGGCCAGGCACAGCCGTCGTGCTTTGGCGACCAGGCCCTTCTACTTCGGCATCGAAACCCGGCCGTACGTGTCACAACTCCAACCTGTGCTTGCTTGTGTGTGTGTGTGTGTGTGTGTGTGTGTGTGTGTGTGTGTGTGTGTGTGTGTGTGTGTGTGTGTGTGTGTGTGTCTGCTAATTACGGTCCACATGAGTTGCCTCACACACACACACCCTCACGGTTGCCTCCGTCGTGTTCGTTGTGTTTGGGCGCTGCAAATCGCCAGTGGCCCGTGGCGTCATGCCAGTTTGACCGGCTGCCAGCACGCTTCCCAGGTCAGAGCGATGCCATGTGTTGACCTGTGTGCATGCTTGTCTGTCTTGCGTGTCACCCATTGCCTTGTGCCCTTGCCCCTCCTCCCTCCTCCCCTCGACATGGCCTCATTCGCGTCGGTGGGTCGTCTTCCTTCACAGCACCGCGCCGCTCCAGCACATCCAAGGCCGCCCCGACACCCCGGCCAACCAGAGGTCCCATCTCGTGTCGAGTCGTGTCGTCTGTTGTTGTCCGCTGTTGTTTGCTGCCGTCTACTCCTGTCCACTGTTGTTTGCTGTTGTTAGCTGTAGCGTGTTCAAGCGAGTCTGTAGCGTCCTGAGGACGATGTGTGATCATACATTTGCGCTGTACAGTGTGCTCATCAACCACCACCACCACCACCACCATTTGCGCATGCTGCGGTCTGTTGCTTCCATCCATCAGCGATTCGCAGTCATGGCGGCTCCCCAACGGCCTCTCGTCGCCGCCGCTCAAAGAACTCCCGCAAAGGTCAGTGACTCCCACAATCCCACACGCAATTGTCATCCCTACCCATTTCTCGATGTACTGTTGGCTTTGCCTCCTCCCAAAACTTGCTTGTCGACGATACAAACCTGCCAGCTCACCACCACCGCCACGACTGCTACGACTGCCACCGCCACTGCTGCTGCCTCCACCGCCATTGCAGCGTCCCAGCCGTACCGCAGCGCACCTGTATCGCCAACTGGCAGCGGGCGCCGCAGTCCCGTCCACCCGTCCGCACTCGTCGCTGCCCTCCGCGACTCGGACATCTCCAAGCGTACGCTCAACCATCATCATCACCACCACCGGCAACACTGCTCACACTCCACCATCATCACCATCACCACTGACAACCCTGCTCACACACGACTGGCACGACGCTCTCTGTCCTTTGTCCAGCTGCGTGTTCAGCGTCAGTGGTTGTGTGTTGATGTTTGATTTTGCTTCGCTGTTGAGCTCACGTGGTTCCAATCCAACACATCACGCTGTTGCCACCGCTGCTTGTTGCCTGTGCAGATGTGAGGGAGGCGGTGCGAGACATCATGATCATCACGCCGATGCCGGATGTGACGCAGGCGCCCACAGCGCTTGCCGTCGCTGACAGCGAGTACCACTATGTTGGCGCCCCTGCCATCCCGGATATGGACCCACCCTTTCGCCTGCGCCTGGTACTGGACAATCTCGACTCGTCGCTGCGCAAGGACCGCTGCCAGCGGGTGCTGTCGCGCCCGGCGAGCGACGAGGAGTTGCTGTTGTGCCACACCCCCGGCCACGTCAACGTATACGGCAGCGCCACCAGCACCCCCGCCCGCGCAGCCGTGCTCGGATACACCATGGACCGCCTGGTGCCGAAGGACCAGCGCGCAGCCGCACACGCAGCGCGTCTGGCCTGTGGCGCAACCATCGACGCCGCCTTGGCCGTGGCCACGGGGCAGTGCCTCAACGCCATGGTTGCCTGCCGCCCAGCAGGGCACCTCGCCCACTCGTCGCAGGCGCGCGGGTATTGTGTCTTCAACAACGTCGCTGTTGCAGCAAAGGTCTGCCTCCAGCAGCCGTCCGTCTCCCGCGTCATGATCGTGGTGCGTACACACACACACACACACACACACACACACACACACACACGTGTGCATGATTGTCTGGCGGTGGTTTGTGAGCAACACTACGCCTTAGCCTGTGTGGTCATCGCGTGTCAAGTTGTGCGTGTCCATTTCGCCGTGTGTCCAGAGCATGGGCACGTGCTAACCCCAACACAATCTTGCATGCTCGCCATCCTTTTGTGTGTGTGTGTGTGTGTGTGTGTGTGTGTGTGTGTGTGTGTGTGTGTGTGTGTGTGTGTGTGTGTGTGTGTGTGTGTGTGTGTGTGTGTGTGTCACGTGCTGCAGGACATTGACCACCGCCACGGCGCGGGCACGGAGGAGATATTCCTGCACAACCCGAATGTGATGGTGGTGTCGCTGCACCGGTATGACGACGGCCACTTCTTCCCCCACACGGGCCGCGTCTCAGATGCAGGCGTCGGTGACGGCAGGGGAACAAACGTCAACGTGGCCTGGCACTCCACCCCAACAGGTGCTCGGAGGACTTTTGTGTGTGTGTGTGTGTGTGTGTGTGTGTGTGTGTGTGTGTGTGTGTGTGTGCGTGCATGAGTGCGTGCCTTTTGTATCTGTGTACGCGTGTGTACGACCACCCGCTTGAGCTGAGTTTTTGCCACTGTTGTTCCCGCTGACGTGTTGCCCGGGGCGTGTTGCACCAACCAAACCAGGCATGGGCGATTCGGAATACCTTGCTGCCTTCCGCTCCATCGTGCTGCCGCTCTGCGTCGAGTTTTCTCCCGACATCATCCTCATCTCCGCGGGCTTTGACGGCTGCGCATATGCAAACCTGCCCCAGGAGTACGGCGGCTACCACCTCTCCCCAGCGGGTGAGTCATGTGACCTATGGGCGGCGTGATGTGACTTCTCGTAGTGGGGAGGTGGTTGCGGTCGCACATCTTCGCTGATTACAATAGAGCTCACATGCATGTCGTTTTGTTCATGTGCCTGCACATGTTGCCGGCCGTTGTGGTTTGTTTTTTGTGCTGCTGGCAGTGTACGGGTACCTGATCCGCATGCTGATGGCATCTGTTGGCGGCAAGGTCGTCGTCTCCCTCGAGGGCGCGTAAGTTTTGCACGCACGCACACCCATACGCCGATGGTTTGGGGTGGATCTATGCTTCATTCCCCCCCCCCCCCTCTGGCCCTGCTTTCTCCACAATGTTCCTCACCGTGACCACCGCCGCCACTGCCACCCTGGTTATTGCTATCATCAGCGCGGACTCGACGTCCTCCACTGCGTGCATGTCCGTGTGCATCCGTGCGCTCCTTGGCGACCCGCTCCCCATGCTCCCGGACCCGGCGGAGCTGCCAAACAAGGCCTGCCTCGACACCCTCAAGGAGGTGCGTGTCTGTGTCGTGGGTGTGCGTGCGTGTGGGTGGGTATGGGTGAGTGTCTAAAGCATGCATGCATGTGCGTATTTGTTTTCACCACCCCACTCCTTCCCATCTCACACAAGGCGACATGATGTGTGCGTGGCAGGTGGTGCAAGTGCACAGCAAGTATTGGAAGTCGCTTGCCGAATCGCTGTCTCTGGCCAACGTCGCACCCAACGACTACTTCAAGTTCCAGCCCGTCAGCCTCACGGGCTCAAAGTTCTGCGCCCCGCCCACGGTGCGTGCACCTCAACATGTGCATTGCTTCGATGTGGCACGCAGTGCTGTTGGACACGCCGTGCCTTTTCATCCTCTGACATTGCATCGCTGTTGTGCTCCCACCTCACACACACACGCACACACACACGCACGCGCACGCGCACGCGCACGCACACAGGTGCTGAATCCGCGACGAACGTCGCTGCCGATGACGATGGCGCCACCGACGATTGTTGAGACGGAGGCGGAGCTGATTGCCACCAATCCCGCGCTGGCGGCGCTTGACGAGGAGGACCGCAGTCTCATCTTCAGCCTCACCACCCTCAAGTACACCGCCCAGCACCAGCACGGCCTCGTCATGCCGGAGGACGACGATGAGGCCGCGTCCTCGCAGCAGCAATAGTCGCTTTTGCTGCTGCTGCTGGTGGTGGTGGCGTGGGAATGTGCTGCTGCGTTTGGCGGTGATGATGATGGTGGTGGTGGCCACTTGTTGTCAGCGCACACCACTCTTTGGTTTCGGGGTTTTCCCCTTTGGTTTTCCTCTTCCTAACGTTGTGCTTGACTGGGTGAATATGTGTGTATGTATATGTGTGTATGTATATGTGTGTGTGTTTGGTGTTGTGTTGCTCCGCCTGGTGTGATGACGTGGCTCATGACGGCATTCCGTCAACTGCGGCCTGCACATGCATGTTTTGTGTCTCGTCATGACTGTAACAACTGTAATTTCTCTGTTTAACTGTCTTTTTGTCACGGCTTTCGTTGTGCGTGTGTGCGTGTGCATGTGTGCGTGTGCGTGTGTGCGTGTGCATGCGACCTCGTGCACAACTTCCTTGTGCCGCTGTCCCCCTTTTCTAACCGGGCGTGTTGGCAACTGGCATGCCCGTTCTCGGTTGCCTGAATGTATGTTCATGTGTCGTCAATGTGTGTGTGTGTGTGTGTGTGTGTGTGTGTGTGTGTGTGTGTGTGTGTGTGTGTGTGTGTGTGTGTGTGTGTGTGTGTGTGTGTGTGTGTGTGTCGTGGTGAATGGTTTAATGATGATTTTGATGCGAACCTGTTTGACTGCAAATTAAAAGACGCCTCCCCACATCTCTGCTGCCCACACGACCACATGGTGTTGTGATGCGATATGTATGTCATGTGATGTGATGTGACATGCTACATGGGAAGCAATTGCTCAGGTGGTAACAGATGAGGAGCTGGTTTAACGTGGCGCATGAACGCGCAGGCGCGACAAAGGAGGGAGGGAGGAAGCCAATGAACGAACATCGGAAGGAAACAGTGAAAGGAACAAGAACAGGGGGTCAACCCAATCGTTGCATCAACCACGCACACACACACACACACACACACACACACACACACACACACACACACACACACACACACACACACACACACACACACACACGTAAACAAACAAACAAACAAACAAACAAACAACGCAACACGCTACAGAAGCAGGCTAGTCGTGCTTGCGGCCGCCGAGCGTGCCGTGTGTGCTGCTGGCGCCCTTTGAAGAGTAGTCTGCAAACGACTCGTTGGGCGGCGGTCCAACACGGTACTGCTCGTCAAGGTACGCCACAATGTCCCCAGACTCAAAGAGCTCCACGCCCGTGTTTGGGTCGATGAGAAACGGGATCTTGACAAACCCGAGCGTGCGGCGCCACGTGTTGATGCGGGCACCGAACCGGTCCTTAAAGTCCTGGCGGCCCTCTGTGTCGCCACGCGGGAGGTGGTGGTACAGGTACGGCAGCTCGAGCGAGCACAGGCGCTCGCGGACCATCATCACAAACGGGGAGCCCTGGTGGCCCCACAGCTCCAGCGGGCGCTCCGGGCGCTTGGAGGGCACGCGCAGGTGGCCGTGCTCCGGTAGGCAGCGCAGGAACGGGTTGACGAGCATGGTGAGGGGCAGCTCCAGGGCGCGGGCGAGACTGCTGGTGACGATGGCGTAGTTGGCGGGCTTGGTGGCGCGCGCGCCATACGTCTGCCACAGGTAGGAGACGATGGCGTCGGACTCGTACATTTGGCGATTGCCTTGGTTCGGGTCGATGAGGAAGGGGAACTGCAGCTTGCCGCCCTTGGCCAGCACCTCGGGGCGGAAGCGGGAGTCCTTGCAGAAACCATACTGCTTGAGGGTTTCGCGCGGGCACGGGTACACGATGACATCCAGCGCGAGCACGGAGAGCGCTTCGCGCACGCGGCGGCAGAAGGGGCAACCCTCAAACTCGTACAGCACAAGCGGCTTTGGTGGCTTCTCCGCCCGCCGCTTGGGTGTGTTGAACGCAAACGTGTTGCCTGCAAACAGGCGCAGCGCGCACACCACCGTCGTGGCAACCAGGTCGTACAGGCGGCCGAGCGGAGGGAACACACGCGACACGAGCCCGAGCACCCGCGCCCACATGCCGGACAGGGCCAGCACCAGTGGGAAGATGGTCGACACAAACCAGGCCAGCATGATGGTCGTGATGTGTGTGATGTGTGATGTGTGTGTGTGTGTGCGGTGGCGTGAAATTGGTGCGTCAGCAAGACAACAACGAGAACAGCGGACGAAGAAGACAGACAAGCCGAGCAAGCAAGAAGAAGAAGAAGAAGAAGAAGAAGAGCAAGCAAGAAGAAGGAAGAAGAAGAAGACGCAAAAAAGAAACGGAACAAAGCACACCACACACAACACAAAACAAGACGACACACAACACAATTCGTTGACATTGACAGACAGACAGAGCAAGCTCGCCAGTAAGCCAGCCAGCAAGACGTGTTTCGTGTGCAGACTCCTGCTCCCACTTCGTGTGTGTGCGCGTGCGTGCGTGAGAAGAACGAGAGCGTATTCAAGATGGTGCTTGGAAGAGCGAGGCTGCAGGCGCTGGCGGAGGAAGTGGCCAACGACCTTGTGGCGAAAGGGGCGCGGGTGCCCTCTGGCTTTGTCAAGGGAAGGAACGCCGTGCTGTTCCTGTATCCTGATGGGCCCCACGGGCAGCAGAACATCTTCACGATGCCACTGAAAGAGCAGCAGAGGGGGCCTGTGGAGCCCGTCATCGCCATGAGCGAGGTGGACCGCGTCGTGCAGCAGGAGACCGCTGGCAGGAGGAGCAGCGAGGCGCTTGAGCTGTTGCAGGAGCGCCAGCGCAGCCGCGCCACCGGCATCCTGCAGTTCATCTACGACGCTGTGCAGGACATTGCCTGCTTTGCCGTGCAGGGAAGCCTCTTTGCCATCCACAACGCCACCCACCCCGAAGCACCCAAGGTATTGTGTGTGTGCGTGTGTGTGTCTGTGTGTGTCTGTTTGTGTCTGTTTGTGTCTGTGTGTCTGTGTGGGTGTCTGTGTGTGCGTGGGTGTCTGTGTGTGCGTGGGTGTCTGTGTGTGTGGGTGTGGGTGTGGGTGTGCCTATGGGTGGGTGGGTGTGCATCTGTCTGTCTGTCTGTCTATCCGCCCGTCTGTCTGCCTGTCTGTCTGTGCCTGCGGGTGCAGCTGTCCAAGTCTTGCCTCCTTGTCATGCGTTTCCAGCCCCACGCTCTCCCTCCCTCCCTCCCCCACAACACACGCCATTCCCATTCCCTCGTCCCTCTCCTCTCCTCACCTCCTCCCTTGTGTTGGCTGCACCAAGCGTACCCTGGAGCCCCTGCGCGTATCGAGCGGAGGCAACTTTGAGGACGCCATCGACTTCAAGTTCTGCCCCCACACCAGCGACCTCATCTCCTTTGTCAAGGACGGCGAACTGTATCTGTACAGCCGCTCCGCCCAAACCATGGTTCCTCTCACCAACGTCGGCAAAGGTGTGTGTGTCTGTGTGTCTGTGTGTCTGTGTGTCTGTGCATGAGAGGTTGATTGTTGTTCCTTAGCTACCTCACTGTCTCACTCACGCATTCACTCACTCACACTCACACTCACACTTGCACTCACACACACGCACACATGTGCATGCGTACACCCGCGCGCCTGTCTGCTGCAGAGTACGGGAGCTCGCGTGTGTATGCTGGGACGCCGTCGTACATCATCCAGGAAGAGTTTGACCGCTACACGGGCTACTGGTGGCAGGCCACCGACACCAGCGCCTCGCACTACCGCATCCTCTACGAACTTGTCGACGAGCGCGACGTGCCGCGCGTCTCTGTGTCTGGGATGACCTTTGAGGACACGCCATCAGACTTCACCTTCCCAAAGCCGGGCCAGTGCAACGGCGCTGTCACGATAAACGTGGCAGAGATCCCAAAGGCCCTGTTCCGAAACGGCGAGCGCAAGGACGCCAAGCTGGAGGTCACCACCACCACGCTCGGCACTCAGTTGAAGGACCGCCTACCCTGGGCCGAGTACGTTGTGCGGTGCGAGTGGGTGCCTGGCCGCGACGAGGTGTGGGTGCAGGCGTTGCAGCGCGTGCAGCAGCGGCTAGACGTGGTTGTAATCCCACTGTCGTCGTTTGTGCCCAAGGAGGCAGCACACGATGCCAGTGCCAGCAACGGTGACAGCCGCAGCAGCAATGGTGACAGCAGCGATGTGCCGTGGCCAACGCTCGTGTCGGAGAAGTCGGACGTGTGGATCAACGTGCACGACGTGTGCTGGTTTGTGTCCTGCGCCGACGGCTACCGGCTGCTGTGGGGCAGCGAGCAGACCATGTTCCGCCACCTGTACGCCATCTCCCTCACGCCAGATGACAAGGGTGCGTTTGCTCGTGCACCCTTGCCGCGTTGTGTTGTGTTGTGTTGTGTGGGTGTGAGTGTGGGTGTGGGTGTGGGTGTGGGTGGGTGTGGGTGGGTGTGTGCGGGTGTGTCAACGTGTGTGTGTGCCTGTGTATGTGCCTGTGTCAACGTGTGCGTGTATGTGTCTGTGTCAACGTGTGTGTGTGTGTGTCACGTGTGTGTGTGTGTGTGTGTGTGTGTGTGTGTGTGTGTGTGTGTGTGTGTGTGATGTCACCCGTTGCATTCGATAACATCATGCCACACCTCACTCTCGTGTGCCACCTGCACATGTTTTGCGAGCAGAGCCGCAGCGTGTTGCTTTGACGTCTGGCGAGTGGATGGTGAATGGCCTGAGCATGATCAAGGAGACGGATGGCAGCGTCTTCTTCACCGCAACCAAGGCACGCGAGTGAATACATATGTAGAGTGTGGTGTGTTGTGATGTGGTGTGGTGTGTGTCTGTGTCTGTGTCTGTCTCTCTGTCTGTCTGTGTGTCTGTGTCTGTCTCTCTGTGACCCTGTGTGTGTCTGTCTGTCTGTCTGTTGTGCCTCTGTTGTGTATCGTGCGTTCCTGCACGTGCATGTCTTGTTTAAGGAGCATCTAACAACCTCACATCCACGGCAATCTCACCATCACCGACCCCTCGCCTCCCACGCTCGCCGACACAAATTGCCCGTTGTCGTGTTCAGGAGACGCCGCTGCAGACGCACGCGTATGCGATGACCATTGGCGGCTGGAGCGAGTGGATTGCCACGGGCGCCGCGCCAACGCCCTCCGACCCCGTGCTCATGACAAAGCTCGGTCAGTCCAAGGATGTCTTGTCTTGTCCTACCATCTCTTTATCGTGTCCTGTCCTGTCGTGTTGTGTGATTGCGAACGTTGAGGTTGGAGGGGGTACACGGTGTGGTGCTGTCATGTGCTACTCTTCGTGTATACATTGTCACGCTACACAACACAGACCCCTCTCATGCCCCTCCTCTTCCCCCCGCCCCGGCCTGCTTGCTTGTGGCGGCTTCTGTAGGGTATTCGCACCACGTGGACTTCCTTGACGACGGCATGTATGTGGACATTTTCTCCAGCAGCAGTGAGCCGCCTCAGTGCCGCTTCCACCGCCCAGACACAGACTGCTTCTACTTCTGCGAGCAGCAAGGTGTGTCTGTCTGTCTGTCTGTCTGTGTATGTCTCTGTCTGTGTATGTCTCTGTCTGTGTGTCTGTGTGTGTGTGTGTTTGTGTGTATCCGTGTGTCTGTCTGTGTGTGTCTCTGTGTATCCGTGTGTGTGTGTGTGTGTGTCTGTGTCTGTGTGCACGTTTTGCTGTTGTTCCTGCTTTGGCCCTGCCTCCGTCTGTCCATGCTTGCGTCCATCCAAGTGCGGCTCTGTGCATCTGCATCACCAATGTTGTTACTGCTCCATCTGCCACCACTTGCAGCACCGAGCATGTATGTGCCACCCCGCATCCAGACCATCAAGTCCAAGCACGGTATGGCAGCAATGTCGCGACCGCCGTCACACTCACGTGTAGAAGCAGCCGTGAAAGCGCTTGGCTCAGCACGGGCCGCAACCACCATTACCAATCAAACTGTGTCCACACCCTTGACTGTGCCATAATTTATCGCTCTTTCCTCACCACACACCACTACCACCACCGTCACCACCACGTGACCACCACCATCACCACCATCGCTGGCATTATCACAGGCCACGACGTGCACACGTTCTTCTTTGCCGCCCGTTCCGTGGACACGCCGCCGCCGCCTTCCTCCGACCCGCTGCCAACGCTGTTGTTTGTGTACGGCGGGCCCCACGTGCAGCTGGTCAGGGACGAGTACAACACGGGCCGCTTTGCGCTCGCCCAGTTCCTGACGCTGTGCGGATTCAACGTTGTTGTTGCTGACGGCCGGGGCTCCTCCAACCGCGGCCTCGCCTTTGAGGCGCCCTTGCACAACGCTATGGTCCGCCAACAACGCCTGCGCACGCTCGTGTCTGTGTCTCGTGTCTGTATGTGTGTCTGCATGTGTGCGTGTCTACGTGTGTGTGTGTGTATCTCGAGTGTGTCTGTCTGTCTGTCTATCTGTCTGTCTGTGTGAATGTGCCTGTCTGTCTCTGTGTGTGTATCGTGTTTGTTCGTGAATGGCTGATTGAGCTGCATTGTTGCTGTGAGAAAGATGGTGTTTGAGCAGGTTGCACACGTCAGAGCACGGCGCCTCGCCTCACCCCACCCCTCCTCCTCCTCCTCCTCCTCCTCCTCCTCCTCTCCTCTCCTCTTCTTCTTCTTCTTCTTCTTCTTCTTCTTCTTCTTCTTCTTCTTCTTCTTCTTCTTCTTCTTCTTCTTCTTCTTCTTCTTCTTCTTCTTCTTCTTCTTCTTCTTCTTCTTCTTCTTCTTCTTCTTCTTCTTCTTCTTCTTCTTCTTCTTCTTCTTCTTCTTCTTCTTCTTCTTCTTCTTCTTCTTCTTCTTCTTCTTTCTCCTTCTCCTCCTGCTCGTGTCATTGCAGGGCACGTTTGAGGCGGACGATCAGGTTGAAGCGCTGCAGCTCCTGTCGCAGGACGCGTCCCTGCGCATCGACATGGACCGCATTGGCGTCTACGGCTGGTCATATGGTCTGCTCCCCGGCGTGACTGCTTGCTTTGCTTTGCTTTGCTTTGCTTTGCTTTGCTTTGCTTTGCTTTGCTTGCTTTGTTTGTTGGTTTGTTTGTGCGCGCATGCGTGCGCACGTGTGCGTGCACTGGGCTTCATCACCAGCCTCACGCCTTTCACCACGACCTCCTTCCCTGTCGCTTACCAGGCGGATACATGTCGCTCATGTGTTTGGCGCAGCACCCGGAAGTGTTCAAAGTCGGTGCCACTGCCGCTGACCACTCGTCTTCGGCTGTCTGCTGTCTCTCCATATGCTCTCTCGACTCCGCTGACGTCTGTCTGCGTGTGTCTGTCTGTGTGTGTGTGTGTGTGTGTGTGTGTGTGTGTGTGTGTGTGTGTGTGTGTGTGTGTGTGTGTGCGCGTCTGTCTATCTGTCTGCTGTCTGTGCATACAGGTGGCGATGGCTGGTGCCCCCGTGACGGACTGGCGCGGGTATGACACCGGATACACGGAGCGCTACATGTCCCTCCCAAGCACGCACGCGAAGGTACGCTGTTTGCGGCTTTGCTTTCATCGTATTCAGCTTCCGTCCTTTATCGGTGCTTTCTTCCTCCATTCCCCTTCTCACGGTCCACCACCATCACCATCACCAGGCCTACGATGCTGGAAGCGTTCTGAAGCGTGCAGCCGACTTCCCAGACGAGTAAGCTGTGCATGCATGCACATACACTCACTCACACTCACTCACTCACTCACTCACACACACACTCACACACTCACACACTCACTCACTCACTCACTCACTCACTCACACACTCACTCACTCACTCACACACACACACACACACTCACTCACTCACACACTCACTCACTCACTCACTCACTCACACACTCACTCACTCGCTCACTCACTCACTCACTCACACACACACTCACTCACTCACTCACTCACTCACTCACTCACTCACTCACTCACTCACTCACTCACTCACTCACTCACTCACTCACTCACTCACGTCACAACCCCCCCCAACTTCCCGTGCGTGTTGCCACACAACGTGCCGCCTCCTCTTCTTTCTTGCTCCTCTCACGTCGAATTGCAAACATCTGAAACATTGCTGCCGCATGTGGCCAGGCCTGGTCGCCTGCTTCTCCTGCATGGCCTTCAGGATGAGAATGTCCACTTTACACACACGGCCTCGCTCATCAACGAACTCACGCGCTTCGGCAAACCATACGCCCTCCAGGTACGTGTCTGTCTTTCTCTCTGTGTCTGTGTGTCTGTGAGTGTGTGTGTGTGTGTGTCATATACGTTGACATTGATTGCACATGTTGGATCGTTGCTCATGCCTGCTCACAGCCAGCCGCTGATCATGTCACCATCAACCTTGCCGTTCACCCCGTGACAACGCGTGACGGCTGCTTCTGTACAGGTGTTTCCACGGGAGCGCCACGGCGTGCGCTCGAAGCATGCCAAGAGCCGCACGTGGGTTGAGCAGGCCGCCTTTGCCCAGCAGGCCCTCATGCAGTGACAACCGCTTCCCCCGCCCCCGGCGACAGCAAACGGCGCTGCTGATTCTTCGTCGTCGTCGTTGTTGTCGTTGTTGTTGTTGTTGTTGTTGTTGTTGTTGTTGTTGTTGTTGTTGTTGTTGTTGTTGTTGTTGTTGTTGTTGGTTGATGCTGGCGCGAGCGTACCTCACATCAGCCAGGCAGGCGACAGCAGCAACAAGTGCCTGAACGACGAACCAAACATCACCACAACCACCATAATCACCATCACTACGACACCTCCAATTCCAATTTGTGCTGTTTGACAGCACCGGTGCATCCCCTCCAGTCGCTCCTCCCGTGTTCTGTCCGTCGTTCTCTTGTGTGATGCGCAGTTGAGGCTGCAGCCAGGCTTGAGGGGAGTGGAGGTGCACAGGGTTGTCGTTGTACTTGTTTTGTGTTCATTCATTGGCATAGCTAAACAACACAGCATGTATGTGGACGTAATGATGATGGGGTGTGCAGCTAATCCATCGACCGCTGTGATGACGATGGATGCGAGATCAAGAGCAATTTCAACGAGGACGAGGCGGAGGGTGGAGTAAAGATGGACGATGATAGCTAATTCACGGCAGGTTGCATGTACTTGTGTCACACGCGTTTGCACGTGTATGTCGGGAGGTTAGACGGTCTTGCCGTTGGCCCAGGGAGTAACAAAGTCGTGGATATGGATCCACTTGTTTGCGCCATACTTCATGCCTTTCGCCTGCAGGGTTGAAGGTGGAGAGGGGGAGGAGGGCAATTGAAGTGGCGTGAGTGTGTGTGTCTGTATGTGTGTCTGTATGTGTGTCTGTATGTGTGTGCGTGTGAGCGAGCTTACCACGGGCATGGCTTCGTGGTCGGTGCGCGAGTCCATGCGCGTTGTGTTTGGGTATGCCGAGTACCACAGCACGGCGTTGCCTTTGCTGTCGTTGTTGTGTGTCAAACGTGTGTGTGGGTGAGTGCACGGTACATCACACACGTTTATACACATTTAAATACACTCACACACACTCACTCACACACACACACACACACACACACACACACACACAAGCACACAAGCACACACACACAAGCACACACACACACACACACACATTCAACTTACGCGGGCTGGACGGTGAGGTTGAGGTTGGGGAAGCGTGTGCCACCGCCTTCCTCGACGTCGTTGAGATAGAGGAAGAACGTGGCCACGCGAATACCGCAGGGCTGCTGCCGCTGCTCCTCAATGTAGTCCGAGTGCACCTTGTAGTACTGGTTCTTCTGGTACTGCAGCACTTGGAAGTGCTCCTACAACACCAACAACCACAACGCCGGGGGAAGTGGTGTGAGAGTCGAAGCGAGACGCGCAAAGGGCACAGTGGGACCAGGAGACAGTGTTCGTGCGTGGGTGATGTGCCACCAGCTACTCTCGGCCACGCAGTCTCGCTGCGTGTTACAATCTCTGCCACGCGTTGCTTCCTCGTACTCCTTCTCCGACCCCCCCCCCCCTCCCAATCAGACCTGGTTCTCCACGGGCAAGCGGACAATCCTGGCAATCTCTTCCTCCATGTCCTTCAGGTGCGCCTGCATGGGGTCGTTGCCGAGGACATCCGGCAGCATCCACGCCGTGGACGAGGTGCGGTAATTTGAGACCTCACGCTCGATCCCGCTTGTGGACCGCGCAAACTTGGGCTTTGCAAAGTCTGCACTCATGTGTGCGGTACGAAAGAGAGAGGGGAGCGGCGCATATCACCCGTGTGAGATGGAGTGTGCCAGCCAGAGCGTGGAGTGTAGAGGGTTCAATGGGGTGTGGCGTGGCGGAAACGAAGAGGAGGGGGGGCGAGAGAAGGAGGGCGAGAGCAGCAAGACATAGCAGGGGCCTTGCCAGTGTTTCGATACGGGAAGCAAAACAGGGCCATGCGCCAGTGCTTACGCAGGATGGCGTCGATGCGTTCTTGGGAGATGAAGTTGTTGAACTGGATCACGGGCGGGTCTTCACTGAGCATGGTGATGTTGTAGTGCTGGCGCAACCAGTCAGCGTCGGCATACCCTGCAGATGAGAGGGGGTGGGGGGGGCTCAAGAATGAGGTCGAGGAGGTGGGGACGGGGGCGGCGGGTTGAGGACCAGGTTATGCGGCACTCAACACAGTCGAGCATGCAAACACACACACACACACACACACACACACACACACACACACACACACACACACACACACACACACACACACACACACACACACACACACACACACACACACACACCATACCCCATTCGCCTGGTTTGAACGGTTGCTGGTGCTGTGTTGAAGCTGTGCCGGAGAAGGGTGTGTCACGGAGGGTGGTGGATGCTGCAAGGAAAGCAGCCAAGGTGCCGACCATCAACACCCCGCTCACGGCGTTCGTGCTCACCATCTCTGCCTGCCTAATTGCTGTGTGCTGTGTGCTGTGTGCTGTGTGCTTGTATTGCTTGCTTGGAGGAAACACAAATGACGCAAGTCACTGCTGATATTGGCTGTTGTTGCTGTCCTGCTTCGTCGTGTCATCAAAAATCATCACTTTCACACACACTTGTTTTGTAGCATAATGTTGTCGACTGCGACGATGTTGAGGCCGATGCGGCTGGGCCGCGCGGTGCATGCAGTGCGTGGGATTGCGACGTTGATAGACGGCAAAGGCATGGCAAACGCCCTGATGAAGGTACCGAGTGCTCTGGTGCCGTGTGTGCACCCATCGACTGGAAATGTGGTAGTGAGAACAGCATGGTCGTTGTTGTGGTGGTGATGGTGGTGATCGCGGGTGTGCCATTGCGTGACTGCACACTGGGGACACCACTGCACGACTGCGTCACTGATTCACCGGCCTCCGCCACTGCAGGATCTGCGACAGGAGATAGATCTGCTTGCGAAGCGGTTTGCACGGCGGCCGGCACTGGCCGTGGTGCGCGTGGGCGAGGACCCAGCGTCGGAGATCTACGTACACACCAAGCTGCACACAGCGGCACAGCTGCAGATGACAGACAAAGAGTTCCACATTTCATCGCAGGAGGCGACGCAAGAGCGCGTGTTGGAAACCATCGAGCGGCTCAACGCGGACCCGTTCATCGACGGCATCATCCTTCAGCTTCCCCTCCCTAAACACCTGAACAAACGTATGCATGCGTGTGTTTGTGTGTGTAGTTGCGTGTCTGAGTTTGCGTGTCTGTGCCTGTAGTTGCGTGTCTGTGTCTGTGTGTGTCTGTGCCTGTAGTTGCGTGTCTGTGCCTGTAGTTGCGTGTCTGTGCTTGTGTGTAGGGGCCTGTGTCTGTGTGTGTGTATGTGTGTATGTGTGTGTGTGTGCCTGTGTATATGTCTGTGTGCGAATGAGCCAAAGGGAGGCGTGCGACGCTCATAGTGGCCTGCGTGATGGATGTATCCTTACAGGACTGCTCATCCAGAGCATCGATCGCACCAAGGACGTGGACGGACTGCATGCGTGTAACGTCGGCAACCTCATCTCTGCGTGTGAGCCCGCGTTCCGACCGTGCACCCCATCGGGGATCATGCACGCGCTGCGCTTGACCCTCGATCCAGCCAGCAAGAACAGGCCCGGTGCAGCTGCGTCAAAACCGTTCCTCGCAGGTCAGCACAAGACGAAGACATGTGCCTGCCTGGCTGCAGTACCAAGCTTGCTTGCACCAGCAGGGCTGTGTGTCTGTGTGTGCATGTGTGTGTGCATGTGTGTGTGCATGTGTGTGCATGTGTGCGTGGTGTTTGAGGGTGGAAGAGCACCGATACGCAGAGATGAGAAGGCGCGAGATCCGCGAGTGAAAGTCATACATGAAAACACACACACATACACACATGAACGCACGTGTATTTGTCGATGCTCGTGGTTTTGTCAGGCATGCACTGCGTGATGGTGGGCGCATCGAGCATTGTCGGGAAGCCGCTTGCGCTGGAGCTGTTGGATGCTGGGGCGACGGTGACCGTGGCCACCGTCCACACAACCGATCTGCAGCAGCACGTGGAGCGTGCTGATGTCCTCATTGTCGCCACCGGACAGGCAAACCTCATCCCAGGGGTACGTGTGTGTGTGTGTGTGTGTGTGTGTGTGTGTGTGTGTGTGTGTGTGTGTGTGTGTGTGTGTGTGTGTGTGTGTGTGTGTGTGTGTGTGTGTGTGTGTGTGTGTGTGTGTGTGTGTGTGTGT